GGGGGGGGGGAAGGCGTCAGCGAGGAGATGGCCCAGGCACCAGGAGGCACCCGGGGCGGAGAGGAAGGAGAGGGTCCAAGGCTGAGCTGAGGCAGGGCTGGGGCAGGGAGGAGGCGAGCAGGCGGGAGTGGGTGCCTGGAGGTCACACAAGGAGGGTGGAGTCCCCTTTGCATTTAGAGAAACGGCTGTGACCACTGAGGTCCCCAGCAGTGGTAAGGGGGTGCCAGGCGCAGGCCCTGATTGGAGCCGCTTCAAGGGAGGGCCCTCGGGAGGGCGGGAGTGGAGACGGTGAGTGGAGACGAGCGGAGTAGTCAGAGCTTCACTGCAGAACAGGGATTCTCAGCCAGCCGGCTGTGCGGCCCTGGGCACCCTCAGCAACATCACCACTGACGTGGGATTGTCACCCCGGGGACGGGCACGACCAAGGCCAGGGTGCAGTTCCACACCCGGCAGCACGGAGGACGGCAGCACCTCGGGAAACGGCCCCCAACGTCAGCAACGGGAGGGAGAGGAACGTGGCCTGGGGCCACGGGTGGGAGGGGGGGTGTGTGGGCAAGCGGTTCACTTTCCAGCCTCTAACAGTTTCCTTGCCACCACCCATTGAGCCTCTAAGTCACAGCAGAATATTTTAGGTTTTCCATTTGTGGGTGGACATATATTTGGGCCACCAGATTGCATGCCAATTTGAAGGTTCAAATGGAAAAAAAAAAATACCAAGAAGAAAACAAGAGAGCAGGCAGGAAAGAAAGGAAAGCAGGAAGGAGCAAACGAGCATCCGTTTGGTGGATATTTGGGGCACCATTTCTATGGGATCTGATTTCTTTAACATCTATTCAGTACATTTATATTTCTAAAATACAATCAGATCTTTCCTTCCATTATCTGGCACCTTCTCTGAAGCCCCAGGACTCCAGACCACCCAGGGGTCTCCCCACAGTCGGTCTGACCCCGGGTTGTGACGGAGCACCCAGGCAGCCTCTCAGCACGGCTTTCTCACACTCGCTCCCCAGACCCAACGCCCGGACCGACTGACCTTCCGGCCACGGAGGGCCTGGCAGCCCCGCCCCGGAGGCCCCGCTCCCGGAAAGTGTCCTGCCCCCTCGTGAGCAGCAACGGGGACCTGGTAGGCGGAGGGGCATGGCTGGCACTGGGCTGGGGCGCCTCGGGGTCTGCACTGCTCCTGGCGTGTCCACTGCCCGGCCTGTCTCCTCCCCTTCCAGCCTCATTCTCTGAGCTCCTCCCCGCTGGGCTCCTCCGTCCCCGGCACCGGCCCCGAGCGCGCCAGCGTCTCCTCCCAGACGGGACACGGTACCTGTGGGCTTCACCTTCTCTGTCGTGGGGGGGGGCGTCGGGGGGGGGGGGGGGCGGCCTGTGATACCATAGACACCCTATTGGCAGAGGGCAGGTTCTGGAGCCTGAAACCTGTCCTCACGCTCTCCTCTGCCCTTCATCCCCCCAGGAATCTCCCGGGGCCCAAGCCCTGTGGTCCTGGGCTCCCAGGATGCCCTGCCCGTGGCCACCGTCTTCACCGAGTACGTCCACGCCTACTTCCGTGGCCACAGCCCTAGGTATGCAGTGCTGGGGAGCGTGCGGACGGTGAGGGGCAACGGGGCTCCCTGGGGCTTGTGTCTGGGTCCTAGCAGGGACAGCCTCCAGGTGGGTTTGGTGACCGGCTTTCCCACGGAAGGGCCTTAACCATTGGGCTGAGCCTCCAGGCCCCTCTCCTGAAGGGCAGTGGGAGAAACGGAGGGTGTGGGGACAGGGCTGGCGTCACTGCTGCCACTGTGTAGAGGCCTCAACCTGGAGGCAGGAACTCCGGAGGCCAGGCCCGGGGAGGAGGTGGGTGAAGGGTGAATCGAGGGGCCGGGGGTTGTCTGGGGGTGGTGCCCAGAAGAAAAGAACTTCACGTCAAACCGAAGAGAGGAAGAGAGCGTTAGACCCCACGCCCAACATGAAGACAATTCTAAAGCTGAATTTTTGCTGTGAGCTTCCTGGCAGCCGAGGGGAAAAGAGAACCAGGGCAGGAGCTGTTCCTGCCTCCTCATCCCAGCGTGGCTTCTTCCTGGAGCCTGGATTGCTATGCAAGCAGGGACACAACGGGAGGAGGTTGGGGTGTAGCCAGGGCCTTGCTGCTTCTGCAGACCCAGGGAGCCCCAGGAAAGAGGGGAGGATGAGGTGCCGGCAGAGCCCTGAGCCAAAGCCCAGTCCCCTCCCCTCTCACCCAGCTGCCTGGCTCGAGTAACTGGGGAGCTGACCATGACCTTCCCAGCCGGCATTGTGCGTGTGTTCAGCGGGACCCCGCCCCCACCGGTCCTCAGCTTCCGTCTTGTACACACCACCCCCATCGAGCACTTCCAGCCCAATGCCGACCTGCTCTTCAGGTACTGCTGGGAGGAGGGAGGCAGGAGCAGGGGGTCCCAGCGGCTAGTGGGGGCCAGGAGCTCCCCCGCCGTAAACTCCTCCTCTGCCTCCCAGGATTTGCCGTGTGTCCCATGGCAAGTCCCTCCCTCTCTGGACCTCACTTTCCTTTGCTTCCTTCCCGCCTCTCCCCGCTGCAAATGCTCTTTGCGGGGCCAAGGCGGCCTGGGAAATCAGCATCTTTAGGAAGCCCTTGGGCTGGGTGGGGTGCTGGGGACCCTGAGAGGCTTCTTCCGAGGGTGGGGGTGATTATTCCGGGTCTCTGCAGCGACCCCTCCCAGAGCGACCCTGAGACCAAAGACTTCTGGCTCAACATGACAGCCCTGACGGAGGCCCTGCAGCGCCAGGCAGAGCAGAATCCAGCCGCCTCCTACTACAATGTAGTGCTGCTGCGGTACCAGGTGGCCTAGGTGGATGGGGTGGGCAGAGGGGTAGGGAAGGGATGGGGGATACGGAGGGGATGGGGGATACGGAGGGGATGGGGGATACCGTGGGGATGGGGGATACGGAGGGGATGGGGGATACGGAGGAGATGGGGGATACCGAGGGGATGGGGGATACCAAGGGAACAGGCAGGACAGAGGGAGCAGGGAGGGGATGGTGGGAGTATAGGGAGGACAGAGGGTAAATAGGGGCCAGATAGGCGTGGTAGGAGCCAGGCCTCCACGGTGCAGATGGTATCATTATGCAAATTAGAAGCGCCCCTCCCAAGCCCCTGCGGGGGTGCCTGTCCACAGACTGTACTAGAATGAGGCCCTCTCCTGCCCTCTGCTGGACGTGTGGTGTAATGCAGACTCCTGTCTGCAAAGCCTCCGGGCACCGGTCTCTCTTGGGGCGGTGTGTGCCGTACAGACTCCGGCCGTGTGGGAGGACAGGATGGTCCAAGCTCTGTCCTCTCTCTTCCAGTTCTCCCGCCCGGGGCCCCAGTCTGTGCCGCTGCAGCTGAGCGCCCACTGGCAGTGTGAGGCGACCCTCACTCAGGTCTCGGTGGAGTACAGCTACCGGCCCGGTGCCACGGCTGTGCCCACGCCACTCACCAATGTCCAGATCCTGCTGCCTGTGGGGGAGCCTGTGACCAATGTCCACCTGCAGCCGGCTGCCACCTGGTGAGGGCATGTGGACGGCCAAGGGGGGCTCAGCGGTGCCCCTGAACCCCCCCAACCCTCCCCTTGATGAAGCAACTAGGGCAGTGGTTCTCAACCTTGGCTGCACATTAGAACCACCTGGGAATCTTTTTTAAATCCTGATTTCTGGGCCTCATCCTCCAGAAAGTCTGCTTCTTTGTTACTAATGTTGTGGCCCCACCCCACAACAAAGAAACAGAATTTCCGGAGGATGAGGCCCAGAGATCAGGATTTTAAAAAGATTCCCAGGTGACCCTAATGTGCAGCCAAGGTTGAGAACCACTGAACTAAAGGGTCCCACCCTGCGCCTGACTGGCCGGTGTGGGCTCGAGGGTGCTGTGATCACACAGGGATAATGTCTGACACAGCTTCCCCCGTGCCAGGCGTGTCCATGGGCTCAGCACGCACTGGTTGGCTTACGGCTCGTAGCAATCCCTCCGGGTGTAGACTGCCATCGTCCCTATGTATGGATGGGGAAACTGAGGCAAAGGGAGGCTAAATTGCTTATCTAAGATCACATCAGGATCTGAATCCAGCTCCAGTGTTGCCTTGGTTCTGTATAAAGGATCGAACCTGTCACGAAGAAGCCAGGCTTACAGGACCAAATGCATCCTCTAAAAATGCTGCAAAGCTGTGGGCCCTCGGGACCAGCTGCTCCACATCCTACCCCTGGTTCACTGACGGGGGAACGGAAACAAGGGAGTGGCCTGGCTTGCTCCGGTCATATAGCTGAGAGGAAACTGAGCTGGGACCCTGGGTTCTAAGTGTTCTCTCTGAGGTTGACCTGACCAAGCTTCTCTTGCTGCCAGGAACCTGGAGGAGAAGCGGTTCCTATGGAAGCTTCCAGATGTGTCCGAGGCAGGGGGTGAGTTGTGGCTGTACATCAGGACTCAGGGGTCTCAGTGGGAGAATCGGGGATGTGCTTGAGGTAGGGGAGTGTGGCCAGGCTTGGAAGGACTTTGACAAAGCTGAAGGAGAGGCATCCTGGGAGTGGGCACAGCAGGTGCAAAGGCCCTGGGGCAGGACCCCTTTACAAACCACACCCAGTCTTGTGGAGCCAAAGAAAATGGGTGCAGGGGCACAAGAGGAGGTCAGAGGGGTAGAGAGGCCACAAATCAAAGCAGGGCCAGGGCAGAGTCGGGGTCACAGTGGGCCTGGGGCCAGGGATGGGACACAGCTGACCTCAGGCCTCCCCAGGCTCTGGCCGCCTGTCTGCCAGCTGGGAGCCGTGCTCAGGACCCAGCACGCCCAGCCCCGTGGCCGCTCAGTTCACCAGCGAAGGGGCCACTCTGTCCGGCGTGGACCTGGAGCTGGTGGGCAGTGGCTACCGCATGTCGCTGGTAAAGAGAAGGTTCGCCACAGGTACGTACCCACTCTACTGCCCCCACCTGCCTGGGAGCCAGGCCTCTGCTGTGGCCAAGCCCCACCCCCTGCTTCGGCCAGGATGCCGGGGTGAGGGAGGCATTTGAGGTATTTGGGAAGGGTAGGTGGGTGTCAGGTCTGGAAACCCAGTGTGGGGTGGTCACAGACGGGGAGGGGTGGCCAGGGTCCAGGGGGAGGGGTCAGGAAGGAAGATGAATGTGTCTGGGCCATCCCCTGGAGGGTGGGTGTCCTTGCAAGGATCCAAGGCCCGCAGCCAGAAACACCACTGCACCCGCACCCTCACCCTGTTCTCCTGTCCCCACAGGGGACTGCTGGGGCCCATGGGGCAGTGAGTTAAGGGGTATTTTGAGAAGGATTGGGGGATCCCAGGGTAGGGGCAAGCGACCCTCCTCCCACTCACGGCCCCACCCCCACAGGGATGTACCTGGTGAGTTGCTGAGCCCGGGAGGCTGACCAGCCCACTGGCCCCAGCTCTGCGGAGTCCTGGTGCTTGGTGACTGCTCCCTGCCCACCTGCCGGACCCTGGGGTCCCAGCCTGGCCTCCCCCGAGGCCCTGACTCTGTGGAGAGGAGCCCCACGCCCAGCCTGGCTGAGCCCGAGATTCACTCCCGCTCATACCAGCTCCCACACAGGTCCTTGGACTTTTAATGTTCTTTGAATAAACACTTTATTTTCTAATAAAATAATTTTCCTGCTCCTGGAAGTTTCCTTTCCAGCGCCAGAGAGGAGAGGAAGAGAAGACGGATGCGTGGGGGAGATCTAACCTCCCTAATGTTCCCCGTCCCCCACCCACCCGCTTACTCCCACTCAGGGCAGAAAAAGCCAAACATGGACACCCCAGCCCCATGGAACACCTCCAGTTCCATGGACTCAGAGCTGGGCTGGTGGAAGGAATGAGGACTAGAGGAACACAGACTAGAGTGGGAGTGTCAGGAAGACTTCCTAAGGAGTGGATATTCTAAATGGGGCTTTGAGGTATGAGTAGGAGTTTGCAAGATGGGGATGGACACCCCAGGCAGAGAGACAGAGTTGTGAGTTCCATGAGAAAGCAATTAGTCAATCTACAAATATCAATTGAGTACCTACTGTGTGTCAGGCAGTGAGGACCCAACAGTGAGCAGGAGAAAGCTCTCGGGAGCCATGCAGCTATGAGCCGAGGGTTAGAGCGTGCAAGTGGCTTGACCTCCCTGGGCCTCAGTTTCCTCCTCTGGTGGCTGAGGGGAGGTCGCACACTTTGACAAGACCCTGGTGCAGAGGATGCACCCCAGCAGTGCCAGCAGCTTTTGGGGGGGGGGGGGAGAGCCTCAGTGCAGGTGGGCAGGAAGTGGCCTGATTGGGGCCAGGACAGGCATGGTAACCAGCACACTTTGGTGGGGAGCAGATCTGAGCTCAGCGGAAAGTCCTGGGTCCTGATGGACCTGTGAGGACCCAGCGTACCTGACCTGGAGGCTGTGCAGATCCCAGGGACCCAGCCAGGCCAGGTGGAGCGCAGGAAGCAGGAAGTGGGGGTTGGCCTGTGGTCTCTGATCCTCCCACCCTGCCTTCCAAAGAGAGCAGGGGGTTTGGCTGTGCCTCAGTTTCCTCATCTGCGAAGTGGGGGGAAATCCTCTAGTTGGGAGCAGTGTGTGTCCTCTCGGTTGCCTCAGTCCCTGCAGAATGGCCTCTTTGCTGGTCCTATGTGGCTGAGGGGCCGGAGTGCCATCTCCCCCTGCGAGAGGGGACACCGTTCATCATCACCTCCTGGCGGGTCACAAGTGAGGTCAGGTATCTTTTGAAACATGAGGCAGCCCTATGTTAGGCTCAGTGGTTAGAGCGTCGGCCTGCAGTCTCTGCACACACACATGTGCACACACGTGTGTGTGCAAAGACTTGGGGCGGAGGGGAAACACCCATAGGATCAGATGTTTGACTCTGGCTCCTTGATGGGGCTCAGGCCTCGCAAGGGGGCGAGGACCCCTCAACCGGCTCCAAAGTCCTGTTCTAGGGTCACAGGTTCGATTCCGGTCAAGGGCACAGACCTTGGTTGCAGGCTCTATTGGGGCTCCGGTTGGGGCGCGTGAGGGAGGCAGCCAGTCGGTGTGAGACATCAATGTTTCTCTCTCTGTGCCTCTCCCGCTCCTTTCCATTCTCTCTCTAAAAACAAAAAATCCATGGAAGCAATGTCCTCTGGTGAGGATTAACAACAACAGCAAAAAGAAATGTAGCCCGGCCTGCATAGCTCAGTCGTGGAGCCTCGACCTACGAACCAGGACTTATGAACGGTTCGATTCCCGATCAGGGCACATGCCCAGGCTGCGGACTCAATCCCCCGTGTGAGGCGTGCAGGAGGCAGCTGATCAATGATTCTCTCATCATTGATGTTTCTATCTCTCTCCCTTCCTCTCTGAAATCAATAAAAATTAAATAAATGAATAAATACATAAAACGGAAGGCATTTCCCACGTGGGGCCTTTCAGCTGCCTGGCGATCCAGAACTGGTGTGACATGTGCCAGGAAAGAGGGTGGGACGCCTGTTTAACTTGCCAACCCAGGGCGGGCAGGTTGGCATTGTTTGATACCCCGGTTTCCCATGCCTGGGAAGCCCAAAACCTCCCGGGGGGGGGCACAAAGTGGCTGGGTCACTCGCCAGAGGCCACCCCAGTTGGTGAGCGGCCTGGTTGGGGATTTTTTTTAAAATTAAGGTGAAATTCACATAATAAAATTAATCATTTACAGTGAACAATTCAGCAGCATTTAGCACATTCACAATGTTGCACAACCAACCACCTTGATAAAGACTAACTGGAAATTTTTTTTTTTTATTGATTTCAGAGAGGAAGGGACAGGAAGCGAGAGATAATAAATTTTATGGTTAACTTCCTTTCCCTGATGTCAGGACTCCTCCGTCTGGGCGCACAGGCCGGACTGTGCACCTGGCTTGCCAGACCTGCATGCGCTTTGCAACCTTTCTTTCTTCCAAATAAACCCTTTGGTGACAAAAACAACTAGTTGATACTATTTTTTCAGTTGACAACCTCTGGGTCCAGAACGTTCCATCACCCTCCAAGAAGACCCCAAGCCTATGAGCAGTCCCTCCCTATTCCCCCTCCCCCTCCCCCCCAGCTCCCCTCCCTGCTGGCAGCCACTAACCAGGCTTCCTATCTCTATGGATTTGCCCGCTCTGGGCATTTCATATAAATGGAGTCGTACACGTGTGTGTGGCTTCTCGCACTCAGCATGTTTTGAGGTTTGTCCACAAAAACCTGTGTCCGTGCTTCAGTCCTCCTATGACTGAGTAATGGCCCGCTGTGTGTGTGTGAGCTACGTTCTGTTCCTCTTCACCAGCTGAGAGACATCTGGGTTGTTTTTGAAAAATCAGACAGAGGCCGAAAACCAGGACTGCAGGCTTTATTAGAGGAGAAGCACCTGCCGGGCTGTCTCACAAGGGTAGGACAGCCGCACGTGCAGGGTGGGCACGCCTTTTGAGGGGTGGAATGGGAAGGGGTGGGGGCTTAGTGTACTCGGCGCACGCTGATTGGTGGCTCACTGCACTGTCCATATAGGACGGGCTTAGGGTATTTGGCAGGTGTGGATTGGTGGTCCAAAGTATAGCCCATATAAGGTGCCTGGTGAGTCAATCAGGTATTTCCGGGCTGCAGGTTATGTCGTACCCCGCCCACCAGTTGCGGGAAGGGAGGGTCTATCAGTTTTCGCCTTTTGGTGATCCGTGACTGGTGCTGCTATGAACATGCATGTGCAAGGGTTGGTGTGAACACCCATGTGGGGTGGTTACCTATGAGTGTAATTGCTGAGTCATATGATAACAATATCAATATGATAACAACAGTCCAGATTTGAACTGGGGCCCTTCAGTGTCAGAATCTGCCCTGGGATCTCTGGAGCCGATCTCGATGTGGGGGGGGGAACTGAATTTTTGGACTGGAACCCGGATTCTTTGGCCACCGGAGTCGAAGAATGAATCCCCGGACAGAGGGTAGTATGGCAAAGGTGGAGAATTATTGAAGAACAAGTACAGACTCCCACTTGGGGGTGGGGAGAAAGGGTCCCACCCACTTCCTGTTTCCAGGGCTTATAAAGGCTGCAGGTCCTGTGTCCTGATATCCCCTCTGATTGGTCAATATTCCCTTCCCAATTGGTTACTATCGTAACTCCTGAGGCCCTCCTCCCTCATTGTCCTTCTATTCCCTCTGGGCTTTCTTCCTCCTTTATTTTGTAAATGTAGACCTATTTTTGGCTACTTCCAGTTCCCTTGTCTTAAGGAAATGTAGCTGCGCCTGGCTTCCTAGTGTGATGGAAATGTACCTTCTCTCCCAGTCTGCGCGGGAACTTCCTCAGCTGAATACCTCAGCTCATGTCCCCGCCCCTCACCCAACCGCAGTATAAAATAACCGTCCCCCTCCCCGTTGACGTGAATCCACGTGCCCGGTCTTTGGGGTACATGGGTCTCCCGGGGACGCAATAAACCCTTCCCTTTTCTTTCTTTTTTCTGATTCACTGGACTCTATTTCCTACGCCACCTCCTGAGCCACCTAACCTCACACTGACAAGGCCAATCCTCAGTTTCCTGGGGCCGCAGGGCTGGTTGTACACAGAACCCACTTCCTCCGCCCTGAGTGCCGGGTGAGATCTGTGGACCGAGATCTCCTGGCCCCAGCGTGTCAAGGTTAGAAACTTCTAGAGACTCAGACAGACACAGCTCCGGGTTGGGGTGAGGAGGTTTCAAATCTGCACTAGCCTCAACCCCAAGAATCTTCCGGTCGGGCGTGCAACTTCCGGAGTCTTTCCAAATGCTAGACCGTAGCCTCTGATGTCTGGGGTCTCCGTTTTTAGGGCTCACAACTTCCCAAGCGCTTACAGAGCCCTGAAGAACCACTGGGTTCTGTGGTATCGCAAATCAGCGAGCTGGACAGGACGCCTAAGGAGCCAACTGGTGAGGAGTCATCTTTATTGCGCGCAGGTTCAGAGCAGATTGCTGTTAGGTTAGGTGGCTCGGGAGGCGGCGGAAATAAAGAGAGTCCAGTGCAAGGCGTGTCTTCATTTCTTATTACTGATGACATTCTTATGTCTCGCTTTTTTTATACAGCTGTTCAGTGAGGGCGGGAGCATGCGCTGTGGGAGTTGGGGGGGGGGCTTCACGGTTTCCAGGTGTTGTCATCTGCCTGGTAGCTGACCTGTTAGGAATTCCAGGGCGGGCCGGTCTCTGCGTCACCATTTACCTGGTGCACTGGCCTGTTACGGATTACAGGATCTACGTCACCATCTGCCTGGCCACCATCTGCCTGGCGGAGGCACGCATCAGCTCCCGGACCCCCTTTCCACCTAACAATTACCTCTGTCAAATCATCAGCAAACACAGGAGGGAGTATTTCCCTTTTTATATCCTTCTCCTTCTGTGTGTAAGACCGCTTGTCACCTTGAGTACATATGGCATTTAATCAAACACCTGTCATATCTACACAGATACCTGTAACTTTGAGTCCATATCATATCTATACCGACACCTGTAACCTTGGATGAACAAACACTGGGCGGGAAATGTGAGTTAATGTCAGTGTCAGTGTATCAGCCCCTTTAGATGGCTAGCTTGCAAGGTCAGAGAATTCAGTTTATCTTTTCTAGTATTCGAGCTAAAAAACAGTTATATTTTATAGAATAAGAGATTATAAAAAACAACAACAGAGTAGCC